AAATCATATTTTGTCTAAGAGCATCAAATGTAGGAAAATATATCAAACATGAAGTCTCAAAACGCCTCTTACAATATGTTTTATCGAGTATTTATTATATGTACTTCGTTACTGGTTTTAAGATCATATAAGTGTTTGTTTATTAAAATATAACGTGGAAATGACGTGACTTGAAAGAATGTCGCATGTGGACGGGGGGGGGGGCTGGCTAAGGACAAATTTATTTATGTTTGGATTTGAAATGTCAGCTACCTCGACGGATGGGGGCGACATGCCACACATGGTGTGCAATGTATTACCTGTATCACCTAATGTGTTCAGTTTGATAATGCATTTAATGGTCTTTAGTGTTCTGGGAAATAAAAGCGTCCTGAAAAGCAGGCCGGCATTATCAAACATACTCTAGCATACGTATATCATATTGTATTTCAGTGATTTGACGCACACGAGAACGGGGGGGGGGGTCAAGTTGAGAAAAATGTACACAGGAAAACATCTAGCAGGAATCCATAATAGAAAAAAATCAGCACGCCCAAATTTTAGGAAAAAAGTTTTTACACAATGTAAAAAAACTTGATAATGAGATGACAGTTTTTTCAAGAAATGTGGCTTGCTCGTGTGTGCAGTACGAAAGCCGAGAGGGGCCTTCCTAATTCACAGTTCCAACTTCTGAGTTCCGACTTCTAACTTCCGAGTTCCGACTTCTAACTTCCGAGTTCCGACTTCTAACTTCCGAGTTCCGACTTCTAACTTCCGAGTTCCGACTTCTAACTTCCGAGTTCTGACTTCTAACTTCCGAGTTCCGACTTCTAACTTCCGAGTTCCGACTTCTAACTTCCGAGTTATTATTGTTGCAAACCGCAGGAGCAAAAAAATACCGTCATCTGTCGTGATGAAACTACATACATGTAGTAGTCTATCATTTGTGCACAGAATTTTTTTGCATACAAGTTATGGGGTGAGATTAGCGCCAACATTATTTTTATTTTTATAATGCATTGATATTTTCCTAGAGGCTTGCAATGAGAAGCACGGAGTGGCAAATCTGAAGTCTGAAGAGAGAACTCTCAAGTACGAATTCAGAAGTGAGAAGTGGAAATGTGAAGTCGGAAATTGGAAGTGAGAAGTCGGAAATTGGAAGTAAGAATTTGGAAGTGAGAATTTGGAAATTGGAAGTAAGAATTTGGAAGTGAGATTTTGGAAATTGGAAGTAAGAATTTGGAAGTGAGAATTTGGAAATTGGAAGTAAGAATTTGGAAGTGATATTTTGGAAATTGGAAGTAAGAATTTGGAAGTGAGAAGTGAGAAGTCGAATATTGGAAATCAAAAATAAGAACTTTGAAGGCGGAAATTTAAAATGTGTAAATATAGGAGTTTTGATATATATATATATACATAAGTATATAAGTTAAAGCATAAAATCTGAGATTTTGGGGAAAACATTAAACATAACATTATTTTTGTACCCTTAAAATAAAGTGAAAGCCAATTTCATGATTAATAATATACCTATCGAACCTGAAAAAATAATAATTAATGTAATTTAGTGGAACCAACGTTCCCTGCACTTTCTCCGTACCTCATGTCCGAAAAAAATAAGTGAATGTCAGTGTCCGTCAAGTATAGGTGATACTGATGATTAATCTGTTTGGGTAGCAGTTGTCACTTATATTTGACTCACAAGAATAAAGGAATTACCAGGGAACGTGTCACAAAGTAGAATATAATCAGGGCATATAATCAGGCGACTTGTCCCCAGATAGATCATAATCAGTGGACTTGTCTTAACTAAGGTAGATCACAATGAAGGGTCCATGGGTAGAAAATTATCAGGTCACTTTTTCCAAGGTAGAATATATTCAAATGTAAAGACAATATAAATATGGTTAGACAATGCCAATCATAATGCAAAGATAATATAAAAATAATTTGGCGCTGATCTCACCCCATAACCTGTATGCAAAACAATTCTGTGCACAAATGATAGAAACTATTATGAAGTTTCATCACTACAGATGACGGTACTTTTGCTCCTGCGGTTTGCAACAATAATAACTCGGAAGTTAGAAGTCGGAACTCGCAAGTTAGAAGACGGAACTCCGGAGTTAGAAATCGGAACTCGGAAGTTTGAACTGTGAAGTAGGAAGGCCCCTCTCGGCTTTCGGCTATGGGAGACTGGCTTTGTACACCGTCGCGTCGTAAAAATCGCAAAACATGGGATGCGATGAACTTTTTTTCGTAACTTGAAATTATGAGCAGTATGAGTCATGTATGTTGTGATGATTCATTCTTTTGCGATCAGCCTGAGGATTTTCTACAACATTAACCCCAACCGCAATACTTGACCATAAAAATAAAGTCTAATCTCCGAGATAGAGTGACCATTAAATATCGACTACGAACATGTAGTCCATACAGTGCAGGTAACACAGTAATGTCGACCATCTTAGATGACTCACTCTTTGTCCACAACCGATCCCCGGGGAGCACTTGAGTAGATTAGCGTCAGGCCAAACGAATTATTACGATAGGTCCCTGGACACTTTTTATGGGTCTATTGAATTATAAGTGTCATCACGAATGCCATGATTTGCCACAAGACTTCTCATCTGGCAAGAAATGTCTTTGGAAGTTATAGAGCTAGTTACGTCGTCCAGGTCATTGCTAGACAGTATGTTGTTGTAATGGCACGCTTGTTTATCGTATATTTCTCTCCGTCGACCCCTGGATAAACATGATGCATCTATTTTGTTTTATAGTATTTCCCACTATGTGTAGTGCAGTTTAATTTAATAGCAAATTATGTGTCACTTCTTCATAGTTTTTTTTTTTAAATAAAGTTATCACCAATAGTGTCTTCGGATGAATCGTTACCCCACCCTTCATCTAATGTTTTAATCTATGTGTAAATTTAACTATCAGCGATCGCCAAATACATTACCTGAAATATTGGTTACTACTAATTTTACAAATTTTCTCTTATTTTTCATCCAAATCAAAGTTAATTTTATATCAAAAAATACGTAATTTGGCATTACTTGCAGATTTACATCAAAAACATTAGAAGATGACATGAAGATGACATGAAGATGACATGAAGATGCGCAGATATTGAACTACATAGTTAGTATCAGTGACATTAAGACAAAATGGTAAAAAAAAAATGGCCCATAATTCTTCCATGTTTCATCAATACAAAATGGAATCGACTTCAGTATGTATTTGCGTGTTGTTATTCATTCGAACGTGAAAGCTAAGTGTCTGCATCAAACCGTCGATTAGATAAACCACCCAGCGTGTACGAATATGCCAATAGGGTAGCTCACGGGGTGGCCACGCTGAATTCGAACAACCGGTGCATAAACCATGAACATTGTCCGTATATGCGATGAACGTATAAACCTGCGGCGTCACGATCATAAACTACGACAAAATAACAACACAAGTATGTCATGATCGTAGAATTTATATACTTCCTGGAATTATTATTTTAGGATTATTGGTGTTTCTGTACTATTGCGTACTATATTTAATGGTATTGCGGGTAATGTTGTTGAGAAGCTGCTCTTTACCTGCAACTCGCACAGTTAGGGAACTGCAAATATTTGTGAAAAATCTTAACTGACTGGGACATTTTACGAAATCTAATTTTTATTTTATTTTATTTTATCACGAAAATTTATATTGTACTACCAATAATATGTCAGACCCGGAAATAGGGGTGACCAAAATGTCTTTTTTTTTCGATTTGTGTTGAAAGATCAATATTGTTTCCACTTAGGGTTATAGCTCTGTGAAATTAAAATACAGAGAACTGACAATTAAATCCGCCAGTATG